TATTGGCTAATAAAGATGTGCCTTCTTTTTAAAAAAAATTTTTAAATATTTATTTATTTTGGGGAGACAGAGAGACAGAGTGCAAGCAGGGGAGGGGCAGAGAGAGAGGAAGACACAGAACCCAAAGCAGGCTCCAGGCTCCAGGCTGTCAGCACAGTGCCCGACGCGGGGTTCAAACCAATGAAGCATGGGATCGTGACCTGGGCCGAAGTTGGATGTTCAACTGACTGAGCCACCCAGGCGCCCCAGATGTGCCTTCTTTTAAAGATCCCTGTAACTGGGGCACCTTGGGTGGCTCAGTCGGTTGGGTGTCTGACTCTTGATTTTGGCTCAGGTCATGATCTCATGGTTCATGGGTTCGAGCCCCACATTGGGCTTTGTGCTGGCAGGGCAGTGCCTGCTTGGTATCCTCTTTCTCTGCCCCACCCCTGCTCATGCTCTTTCTCTCTCTCTCAAAAAAAAAAAAAAATCCCTGGAGCACCTGGGTGGCTCAGTCGGTTAAGCGTCGGACTTTGGCTCAGGTCATAATCTCACGGTTTGTGGGTTCAGGCCCTGCTTGTCAGGTTCTGTGCTGACAGCTCAGACCCTAAAGCCTGCTTCAGATTCTGTGTCTCCCTCTCTCTCTGCCCTTCCCCTGCTTATGTTCTGTCTCTCTCTTAAAAATAAAATAAAAAATAATAAACTCACTGCAGGATTGTCTGCAACCTAAAAATTAACATCTAAAGTTAAGGTAGGCAAGGAGAAAATACATGCCAGTATGTGATATAAGACGGTAGGGGAAAAGGATATTGGTAGAGCCACAGAGGACCACCCTGCGGATTACTTACTAATCACAAAGTGGACAATTGTGTCTTTACAATGGATATCTGATATCACCTTAAGTAATCAAACTTAATCTCACCAATAAAGGGACACTGGCATTGTGTGTCTCTGATGTGATGGAGTGGGAAGGACACATTGCCTATGTAGTATTCTTGCCAAAAATGTTTAACCTCTGTCTAATCACGAGGAAACAAAAATTCAATTTAGGGGTGATATACAAGACAATTAATTGGCTTATTAAACTCTTAGAAAATGTCAATGTCATTTAAAACAAAAAATTTAAAAGGGACTAAAGAGTCATGAAAACCAAATGCAATGTGTGATCTTTGACTGGATCTAGGATTGAAAAGCAGTTTTGGGGTGCTTGGTGGCTCGGTTGTTTAAGTGTCTGGATCTTGATTTCGGCTCAGGTCGTGATCTCAGTTTGTGAGTTCAAGCGCCATTATCAGGATCTGTGTTAAATGTACTGGGTGTAATAATGGCACTGTGGATATGTAAGAGAATACCTTGTTCTTAGGGGACACAGTTGATGTATTTAGGTGTGAAGTGTGGTAAAATTAATGAATCAAGTGCTTGTTGTTCTAACTGTCCTGTAGGTTTGAAATTTTTCAAAACAAATTGTTGGGTAAAAAGTTTAGACTGCAAAACAAAATACCAACCCTAAATTTTTCCTGGCACAAAGGCCCCTTGAAGTTATTACTATTCCACATCTTTCCCTAGCCTAATCTTTGCCGAGTGTCTGCTTGTGGGCACTGTACTAGGCACCAGGGTCACAGAAATCAAGAAGGCTCACACCTGCCCTTAAGGAGCTGAAGGTTTATTGGGGAAGACAGATATAATACAACGCAAAGAGTAATACAATACAATGTGGAATGTGCAGCAAAAGAGGTACATTTCCGCTATGGTACAGTATTTCTTAAAATACGGTTCACAGATCACTTGTATTAGTCATCCGGGTTGGGGGGGAGGTGTCATGCCTTAAAATGCAGATCTCTGGGCCTCATACCAACTTTGAATCAGATGCTCCGGGACTGAATCTACATGTTAACCAACCAAGCAATGCTGATGCATACTGAAGGTAGGTTAATAGGCACATCAAAGAGAATGATTACACTTAAAAAAAAATTTTTTGGGGGGGGGGGAGAGTGCAATCAGGGGAGGGGCAGAAAGAGGGGGACAGGATCTGAAGCAGGCTCTGCTGTGACAGGCTGACAGCAGCAAGCCTGATGTGGGGCTCAAACTCATGAACCGCGAGATCATGACCTGAGCCGAAGTTGGACACTCAACCGACTGAGCCATCCAGTTGCCCCCACTTTTTGTTTTTTTTGAAAGGATTACCAAAGAGGTTTGGACTACCTTGAAAAATAAGTAGAAACTCATCAAGTAGCCAAGGGTAATTTATTAACCACTGGGCTTGGAGTTCTGTAGTTTCCTTACTTTTTTTAAATTAGCCTCAACAGCACCTGTTTTCTACAGTAAGCTAGATCAAATGAGTTTTCATGTGTTTTTTTGTTTTTGTTTCTTTTTTTACTTTTCGGCAATCAGATTTAACATTAAGTATTAGTTGACATCATTTCTCTTTCTCCAGGTACGCAGAAACACACCGAGTATATGCTATTGTGTTAGTGTCTGCATATACCTCTGACTTGGGGGATGAAAACGAGCGTGCCAGTGGTAAGTTTGAAACCGAGTCAGAAAAGCCCCTCCTCTAATCACAGGGCTACCTGTTCAGGTTAAACAGTACTGGCTTTTGAATAGGCTAAAAAAACCCTCTCGTAACAGATGAGAAACATTTGCTGCCCTTCTTTTTTTACAAATTAGACCCTTTGAGAGGTGATAGACCATTTTCTAATGCATTGAACCCTAGAGGCCTGATTTTATCTGAGCCACATACGCCCCTTCACAAGTAGCTATGGTATTAAGCTCTACAGATTTGAAAACTAATGGACTTGTAACTCACAGGCTCGGATTCTGTGTGTCTGCTATGGTCTTCACTAGATATTTTACCATGGCTAGAATGGGAATTATCCATGGGCGGTAATAGGCTATATGTATATTTTTTTCCCATAGGATACTTCAGCCGTCCCTGGCAGTGGGAGAAGATCAAAGCCAACTGCCCTTACATTGTGCAGTTTGGCTCCACTGATGATCCTTTCCTTCCCTGGAAGGAACAACAAGAAGTGGCTGATAGGTTGGAAGCCAAATTGTACAGATTCACTGACCGTGGCCACTTTCAGAATATGGAGTTTCATGAACTGATTAGCGTGGTAAAGTCTATGCTGAAAGTACCAGCATAGGTAGGATTACTTCTGCTATTTTACATTCCAATGTAGGGGTAGAGCAATGATCAGGTTATTAATAGATAAAAATTATCTATTATGAGATGATTAGTAGACACATAAAACAGATCAAAGTTCCGGAAAAATAACCCAGAAGTTCAATATTCAAACTAAGTTACAAACTGCGTTTCCATTTTCCATTGGATTTCTATCTCACAAACTGCCATGAACTAAAGCAGTATTTTTCTCATTTGATCAGGGACATAAGGACAGTTTAACCACCTTTATCTGTCCAAAGTGAGTAAGATAGAAGTGGAATCCAGCTTTCCTGATTCCCAGTTCACATTAAAACTAGTTTGTGTATGTTGTAGGAGTTGTACTCCTCTTTGAAATGAACCTTTTTCTAGTTGGCAGGGTGGGGTGGGGTGAGGAAAACGACTAAAGATCCAGAGTGTTGGCTTAGAGCTCAAAACACTAGCTGTTCTGAGCTGGCCCAAGACATTAAACCCAGACTGGGGCCTTCATCTTTGACCCCTGCCCCAGTCCTTCAAACATGTTGAGGGAGAGGGATACATATGGATCTAAGAGTTGGGTCTGCCAGGTCGGGCAGGGAACAGGAGCCCAGCCTGTACAAATATGTCAGCATAGCCAACCAGATGTGTGCTAGACCAGCGTGGTGGGAATTTGGGCAGCATGGAGAACTCGTGCCCTTTCTAAATCGTTGCCATCTGGGAAGGTAGCAGAGTGTTGCCAATTTTCTGATTTTTTGAGGGAAAAATTTCATGCAGTGGTTTTCATATCTAGGGACTATATGTTTATATACACAGTTTATATGTATATGAATTATGCCCAATATATGTACATATGGATTACATAAGTCGACAACGACAGCGTAAATAAAAAATGTACAAACACTGCAAGACACACAAAGTCCAAGCCGCCCATTTGTGACCTCTGCCATTAGGAATTAACTTATCCAGGTGCTTTAAATGATTCTCTCTAAGCCTGAGAAATGAATTTAATGTCAAAGGATGAAATCATGGGAACAATTTAGATTTTGTTACAAAATTCTAAGTAATCTTTCCATACTTCAAGTTTTGTTCTGTAAAGAGTTCTACCTTTTAAATTCTATGTTCCATTAGCTCACTTTCAAGCATCATTCCGCTTTTCTTCTGATCATACTCCTTCAAAAAAATTGTTTTTTCTTTCCAATATTTTTTGGCTGTTACAATCCCTAAGTATTGACTCAAAACAATTTCCAGTGACTTTGTACATGTTACAGAACCTTATGTTTGCTGCAAAAATATGAATTAACTCACTATTTATGTCTACAGGAGATTCAAAGCCACCGTTTTAACCTGAAAAGTCTTGGCTTCTAAATGTGCTCAAAGAAAAAATGGAAAGACTCTAAACTTTTAATAGCAGTTATCTTTGGGGAATGGGAATTTTAGGTACAGTGTGAAGGAAGTCTCCTTTTTATTTTGTACACCTGGGGATTGAGTTTGTTATAGTGAACATGTATTACTTTTATAATTAAAATGACTATGTTTAAAACAACTCATTTGACATGTTAGTGAGAAGCAAATTAGATAAATCAATTGAGTAGTAATTTTCTTAAAGATGTTTGATTTGACCAAGTCTATAACCAAAGTTTGATTCTATTTGAATTGTTTGGAATTAGTAATCATTCTACTTACTCTTGGCCTTGTTTTCTGAAGTCCTTTTTCAAAAAATTACAAACTTACACTACAAATAACAGTTAATAATATTTTGTCCTCTTTCTCCACAGAAAAATACATACAAGTGAGAAATAATTTTGATATCCTTCATTCCTATAATTAACATAGACCTATGTGACTGTAAGGATTGTGCTATATAATATGGTAGCCAGTAACCACAGGTAGCCACAAATTGAATTCATTTCTTCATTCAAGTCTTAACAGTCACGAAGTGACAAGTGGGTACTTTTACTGAACAGCAGATGTGGAATACTGTCACTATAAAATGTCCAGCAGCAGTAATCTAGGGCATGTATTTTCTTCCCTTACCCACAATCTAATAATGAGTAATAGTTCAAAGTAAAAGTCACTCAACTTGAAATTACTTGTTTGACTAGTTTTTACTCAGCTGATCACCATAAAAATCATGGCTCATAAAATTTACTCCTCATCAAACGAAGCTCAGAGGAATTTTATAGAAGAATGCCACATAAACTATCCATTTAAACCACTAAATCATGGTCTCTCAGGATTGTCTGACTCCCTATGATCATTAGTAAGCAGAACAGAAGGGCCATGACAGACTTCAGGGTGTATCTCTTCTCAGGTGACCAAAATACCTTATACTAAATGGAAATCAACTGTAAGGATTAGGACTTCACCACAATTTGATTTTTTTTTTTTTTTTACATTTTTTTTTGGTGTCATGAGTCTAGAGCCCCATAATTTGTTTTGGTCAAAGTTTACTTCTGGTGGGTAAATATCTATTTAACTATATATCGGAGCTGCTGTTGTTTGGTTTTTTTAACGTTTATTTATTTTTGAGAGACAGAGAGAGACAGAGCATGAGTGGGGAAGGGGCAGAGAAAGTGGGACACAGAATCCAAAGCAGGCTCCAGGCTCTTAGCTGTCAGCACAGAGCCCGAAGTGGGGCTCGAACTCAAGAACTGCGAGATCATGACCTGAGCCAAAGTTGGATGCTCAACTGACTGAGCTACCCAGGCGCCCTCAGAGGTGCTATATTTTTAAACTACTGTCTCTTTTCTCCTTCAGTTAATATTCAGAATGAAAGACCTGCTATGGGAAAACCATTTAAAGGGTCTCTTTATTCTGGTGAGTCAATGAACTTTTGTTGTAGCCTTTGATTGTAAGCTTTAAAAACCAATCTTTGGCTATCAAGACATAATACAAAATCTGTAGTTAATACATGAACTGCTTCCTTCTCCCTACATCTGCCTCTCCCCCCAACTTCAGTTTTCTCATTAAATAAGACTAGCGCCTCTGTGACAGGAACGCCAGGTTCCAAGAAGGACAAATAATGTTCTTACTATTCTAGCTTTCCTTGGGGGTGGAAGAGAAAGGCTTGTGTAGTTTCAGGCTCCTAGATTCTTCTGTCTCTTCTATATATTTAATACTCGAAATGATCCTTGTTTCAAAGTGCTGGTGTCATCGAATGCTATTTTATAGAGCTGGCCACAAACTCCATCTGGTTCTTAGTTCGTTACTGAGCTGATTTCCTTTTATTGATCCCATTTATCTCAAAGTTACCCTTCTGATGGTTGCCCACTTGGAGAATCTCCAAACTGGTAGTTGAACTCTGGTGTCAGTAGTAGCTGACCTTCAATTCCTTTCCCTTGGTCCCATACTTTTGGCTTGGACACAGAAATCACTGAGTGGAGGTACAAAGTGAAAATACAATAGCTGAGATCCTAAAAAGCTAACTTTTGTTCAACAGTACACTGAATAACCTAATGTTTTCTCTATGGCTAACGATTAGGACTGGAAGTACTATTAGAACTGAGAACAATTATAATGGCTTTCTGCTTAGCCTAGACTAATTACACCATGATTTTAGAAGAGAATAAGGAAACAAATCTAAAATAGGACAAGAAAAGAAGAATGGTATCCTGCTCACAATGAAGTACGAATGGAGGGTTATGGATTATGGGACAGTTCTAGCAAATAATACAATTGAACCACAGAATGAAACTTGGAAGACTTTAACAAAGGATCAGTGAAAACATTCTCTTGAAGATGAGAATAATCTAACTATGCACTAAAAATCCTTGATAATAGTCATCATTTGCATTTGAGGTAAGTACAAAGGCATAATCCTCTGAAATAATATTTCTGACATAAGGGATTAATAATGTGCAGAAAAGAGATGTTCCACTCTCTTCCCCACTCTTCCCTAAGTGCTATTCCTGCCCCATCACTTTTAATTACTTCTCAATGAAACCACTGAGGAAAGAGAAAACAAATGGCAATAGTGAAGTAGATGTAAAAAATTTCCGGGGCGCCTGGGTGGCGCAGTCGGTTAAGCGACCGACTTCAGCCAGGTCACGATCTCGCGGTCCGTGAGTTCGAGCCCCGCGTCGGGCTCTGGGCTGATGGCTCGGAGCCCGGAGCCTGCTTCCGATTCTGTGTCTCCCTCTCTCTCTCTGCCCCTCCCCCGTTCATGCTCTGTCTCTCTCTGTCCCAAAAATAAATAAAAAACGTTGAAAAAAAAAATTAAAAAAAAAAAAAAAATTTCCAATGAAGATCTTAATAACTAACTTGGAAAAGGGCATTTTTAAGCTTTAGCCATTATCATAGTATTTGGCAAATTTAGATTTATTGGCTTCTTTTTCCATGAACCATCACAAGTCTTGAAGGCTTCAGAAGGTGGTCTTCCAGAAGTTCTAAGTATTTATCGAAGAATGGATTTCAGTATTAGCCTTACCTGCTTCATATTCCGTTGGCTACTCTACCATTATAAATTTAGTCTTCATAGATAAAAAAATATTTTTTCATAGCAGCTAGTCTATCCATTATTGTGAAGTTTGCTTTCAAGGGTGTTTGATGTTCCATCACGAATTAAATTATTTGCTCTCAAAGTAACTTCATTTGCAAAATGTCAGTAAAGTTCCTAGCTCTCTTAAAATTCGAGCCACTCTGTCATATAAATACAGTTAGATGGTGAAATCTCACCACCTTCATGGCAGTCATCAAAAACCTTTAAAAAGAAAAAAGTTTACAATCAAATGAGAGTTTTAAAATTATTATATTATAGGTAAAGTCTTACGTGTCAACTACAACTATACTTTTTGTTAACAACATATCCAAGACCCAGCCATTCTCTAAAGCGGTATTAAAAGTGACACTTTGAAACTGAAAGAGACTAGAGCTGTAATGGGACCTGCTGTGTGATTATAAAGTTAGTTAATGAGAGACCTCTCACTGTAGCACTAAGATGACATGTTCTGCCCACTGGCCCAAAGGCTATTGGCAGGTAACAGGGATACAGGAAGGCAGATCTGTATGTGTGTTTGACTAGGCAAATGTTTCGTGTTTAACTACATTCTTTTTTGTGAAGGGTGCTAAGCAGAATTCCCAATATGCTCGCTTTTTTCCCTTGGAGTTGACACGAGCATACAGACAGCTTAGGCATATAGACAAGGGCCAGTATAAAGAAATAAAACAGCAGCTATGAGGGCCGGGACAGGGCCTGCAGCACGCAGCTGGCAAGCAGTAAATGGGAACGGATGGATGGAGAGCGCTGGGGCATGCTGCAGGGGAAAGCACATCTCTGGGTTTGAATCCTGATTCTTCTAAGCTGTATATCTTGTATCTTCCTTAGCTTCAAGCTTATGCAGAAATAACACCACTAGCTCCAAGGGACAGGAGGAGATTAAATGAGACCACATAAATCTTCAAGAACATACCTGGCCTGTGACACGTTCTCAGCAAATCCTATTTCCCTCCCTACTTAGGTTAAATGATTAGCCCTTGTTAAAAATTGTCCATTCTAGGGCCAAACCCAGAAAAACACAAATTTCCCTAACCTGGTTATTCTAAAAAGGAATGTAAAGCCATGACTTGTTCATCAAAGGCCTGTCATCAAAGTTTACGTGGAGGTTTGAGCAGCTGTTGGTCAACTCTGAGCATCAGAAAACTGGGGTGTGCTTGCTGGTAAGTTATGTGGCATTTGCACTTGGTGGCAGTCAGGTGTGAAATGAAGCCACTTTAACTCACCGGGCAGAGTCCGCAGGGGGCCCGGACCAAACCTGTGGGCGGGATGATAGGATTGACTGCTCTATACAGTTTCATGTGTCCATCCACACTTCCAACTGTGCCTTCTTTTGCAGCGATGATAGTCATCTCTACTTTCCCGTCATAAATGAGTGTATTTAAGATAGTTTCAATGTCCTCCATGGACAATTCTACCTGAAAAGGGGACACATTAGAAAGGACACAGAAAGCACAAGAAGACATCCTATCTGAGGGTGTTTAAACAGTAAGGGTCGCAACTCCGCCATGAATGGGGAAGCATTGCGCCGATGGGTGATTTAAAGCACAGAGCTGAACAACAGCCCAAGCTAGCACAAAGCACTGAAATGCTAAGGACAGAACTCTAACCTCATCTGAATTTGATACTTTCTTTCTATGTTTCTACCCTTAGGTAAAATCTGGAAGTCTTATAAAGTAACATTTCCTTAGCAAGAACTTGATGTGGATTTATAAAATGTTCAAGCATAAAGTTATTTTAGATATCAAATTGTCCAAATTCCTAGTTTTTTATATAAATGAGAAATCTGTGTGGGGTATCTGGGTGGCTCAGTCGGTTAAGTGTCTGACTTCGGTTCAGGTCA